GCCTATGCCACCCCCTAGCAGAGAGGCACCCAGGGGTACCCTAACCATTGCAGAAGAGAAGGGCGACCGCCTCCCAATCCTGGACGCCTGCACTTCCACTAGCCCCAGAGTAGTCGGCCTTCCTGCTGTGGCAGCACTGTCCTGGTTTTAGCACAGACGTTCCTACTCTCCCGGAAGTCTCTGGAAAACTGGGAGGGTTGGCCCCGTAACCCTGGGAGTCCAACAGGAAGAGCCAGGAGGATAATGCTGCAGGAGATGCTGACCCGTCCCATGGGTGAGGGTTCCCTACCCTCCCGTGGTGGGTGGAGGGTGACTCCTGTCGTTCTCCTGTGGCCGGAGGGCTGTCCATCATCTGTCACTGATTCCTGTCCACTTCTGCGCTGTTCCCGAGGGCTGAGCACAAAACCTTCTTAGAAAACCAGAGTTCTGGGTGCTCAGATGGAAAGTGTCCGAGAATACTGCTGCATCTCCGACCACCACAGCCTCTTTATCCCTCCCCACCACCGTCCCCGCATCCCTCTCCGCCCCAGTCCCCGCATCCCTCCCCACCACCGTCCCCGCATCCCTCCCCACCACCGTCCCCGCATCCCTCCCCACCACCGTCCCCGCATCCCTCCCCACCACCGTCCCCGCATCCCTCCACACCACCGTCCCCGCATCCCTCCCCACCACCGTCCCCGCATCCCTCCCCACCACCGTCCCCGCATCCCTCCCCACCACCGTCCCCGCATCCCTCCCCACCACGGTCCCCGCATCCCTCCCCACCACCGTCCCCGCATCCCTCCCCACCACCGTCCCCGCATCCCTCCCCACCACGGTCCCCGCATCCCTCCCCACCACGGTCCCCGCATCCCTCCCCACCACCGTACCCGCATCCCTCCCCACCACCGTACCCGCATCCCTCCCCACCACCGTCCCCGCATCCCTCCCCACCACCGTCCCCGCATCCCTCCCCACCACCGTCCCCGCATCCCTCCCCACCACCGTCCCCGCATCCCTCCCCACCACAGTCCCACATCCCTCCCCACCACAGTCCCACATTCCTCCCCACCACAGTCCCCGCATCCCTCCCCACCACCGTCCCCGCATCCCTCCCCACCACCGTCCCCGCATCTCTCCCCACCACAGTCCCTGCCTGCCTCCCTGCCCACCACTGTCTCTGCATCTCTGCCTACCACAGCTGCATCTTTCATCAGAAGAGTGTTGGAGAGATCTGGGTTGAGGGAAATGGAAGGTGCTACCTGCTTGTTTTCACAGTTAACGAAATAACCTTTCACTTGTGTTTGCTCTCACCATACCTCTATTCTCTTTTTTGAGTCTCCCCGTCAGTCCTTAAACGTTTTCTACCTCTGTGGTCTCTATTCCCTCAATGTAGTCTTCCTTCTTAAACCCTTTAGTTAAGCTTTCACTCGGACATTCTAAGAAATTTTGTCTCAAAGAGCACTGAGAGCAGTAGTGATGAAACACACATGTCACTTTTCAGTCCTCAAATTCTTCGCTCTGCAGGGGTTTTTTTTTTTCTTTAAAGACACTGTACTAATATTTTGGGACCTATCCTCTGGCCGCTTCTGAAGTGTCTCTTTTCCAACTTGAATCTGTCCTTCTGCTTTGTAAACATGAGCCCAACTTCCCAGCGGTTCCATCTGCATCTCTGAGTTTAATTACAACCTCTCCATGCGAGACTGTCCCTGCATCTCTTGCTAAGCCCCTCTTTATGACTCAGTAGCGGTAACTTCCATCCCATCTCCACCACCACCACAATCATCACAGTCACAAAGCTGTCACTGTGCACCTAATGCTGTGTGAGGCATGAACTTTGTCTTTGATCTTCGCATGAATCATTTGCAAATCTAAAATCCTTATGTATTGATTAGGAGACAGACATCTAGAGGTTAACTTGAAAAGTGACTTTCGATTCTTGACATGAATCTAAAGTCATGTCAAGAATCTCCAAGAATTTTCAGTTACACAAAACATCAATCTCTTCACATTCCAGGTACTTCAAATGACATCCGTTTTCTTCCCTCTTAGACCAGTTTCTGTAACTGTTCTTCCGTGTAGAAATAAATTAGTAAATAAAAAGTAAGTTTTCAGTTTGATTTCCGTATTTCTGTCCCGATGTAAAATTTGGCATCATCTTGATTCCCTTTCTGCTTGTTCCTTACTGATATTTTCCAAAATGTCTCCCTAAATCATTTTCTCTTCACATGTATCCCAGAAAGGTATGAACTTTGGATCAGATGACATGGCTTTGAGATTGGCTGCTCAACTTACTGGCATATGAACTTGAAGAAGCTGTGTTTTTCCTCCAAGTTTCAGTTTTCTCATCTGTCACTTAGGGAGGACTATGACAACCTCAGGGCCCCTGGGCCTGTAGGGAGGATTAATGAAACCGAACAGGTGAAATGGCGAGGGTCAGCCCCACATGCTGGACGCCCATGGTCCCGGCTTCCTTCCCTGCTCTGTGACGTCGGGCAGGGCTGCCGCCAGGAGGAGGGTGCACCTGCCCTGTGCCCTGCTCTTCTCCCTACTGTAAACTTGCTCCCTGTCCCTCTATGGCCCACAGACATCTGTGTCTTTGCATTGTCGCCAGCATTCCGGTCCTGCAGTCACCCTCCCCAGTTCCCCACTGAGGGCTGGTGCCCCTACCTGTCCTCACTGCTCTCCACCTTGGTGCCTTTCTGCCTCCCCACCCAGGCTCATGCTGTTTGTCCCCGAATTGCCTTCCTTCCCCTGCCTACCTGGTCAGATCTGAATCACCTTCCTGGTTGAGTCCCAGCCCTTCACTAAGAGCCTGAAGTCCAGGAGGCTGGAGCTGAAGGGGCTCCTGTGTGCTCCCTCCTGTGAACTGGACTCTCCCTGTGGCATTTCTTCACGGATTCATCACACACAGGCTCTCTGTGCATCACATGTTGCTTGTATTGTCATGTATTTAGGCCTCAACTTTCCAACTATATGAATTCCTGAAAGGTGGGAAGCAAATGGCACACTTTTAACTATTTCTGTACCTTGTGTGCTGTACACAGTAATTATCTGAACAAATGATTTGTATCTGAAAAATAATGTATAACAGGTGTTCTCCTGGCTATTTGAGAGAGTAATTTTCAGGCCAGCTACTTTATGGGGTAGAATAACACAGAGTGTCTCCCCAGGCCCGAATGTATTAGCATATGCAGTGAGCATTGAAGGATACACCATTTGACGTCTTTGTAAACTCCAAAATTCAAGGTGTCAGCACAGCTTGTACTTCCTCCTATAAAATGTGTTTTTGTCCCTACTAGAGAATTTGCTGACATAATTTGTTAAGTAGTCTTTTTTTTACTTTATTGTTGAGAAAAAGATATAGATCCAAACCACGTAACACAGATCCAAGCACTGCTGGGCTCGGTGGTCTATGTTTTTGCAATGTGTGAGCCTGTGGCTGCCTGCCCGCCGTCACTGTTGTAGATTTCTTCTTCCTGTCCCTCCACTCCCAGCACCTGTGCTCACTCTAGGCTTTCCTGGGGAGGGTTTTTAAAAAACACACAAACGAGGCTTTTATTTTAATTTGTTTTGTTTTTTTAAAAATCATGTTCATTACTTCAGAAGTTTTGTGCACACAATGAGAGTAGAAAGCTGTCCCGCTTATTCATTGTTGTTTAGCCACCACCTTGAATCATGGTGGCTTTAACAGTGATTTATTTACAATGTCTCATGGCTCTGAAGGTCAACTGGGCTCGGCTGAGTGCTTCTCAGTTGGGGCCCCCACTGTAGGTACCATCAGAGAATGGGTGGGAGCCATGTCATCCGAAGGCTCGATTGGGCTGGGGGGCTCCCCCATGTGGCTGGCACATGGGACACTGCTGTTGCCTGGTATCTCAGCAAGAATTCCCAACCAGTTCACCACATTGACTTCCTCAAAGTCTGTACAGAGTGTTACTTTAGGGGTTAACAAAGCATTTACTGTCTTTTCAACTTTGCTGATAATTTCAAAAGATGACTGACACCCAGATGACCAATGTCCACAACATGGTGTGCCATGGCCTCCAGTGTGTGTGCTGTGGCCTCCAGTGTGTGCAGGACCTGTTTGTGAATTAAAGGCAATCACAAGGAGAAACGGTCATGGTGACCCATTCTGAACCGTACACAGCGTCCTCTGTAGGGTTGTAGCCAGAGGCAGATGACTTTCCTAGAAATGCCTCAACGTGAGTTTTAAAGCAACTCCTTATGACTATTATCTGAATTTATCAAACTGTCCCTGGCTTTTGTTCGGAATGAACTTTTGACGTTAATGTGGAATTTTCTGCCTGGAAAATTATTGTTATGAAACATGTGACTGTAAACCACATTTCTTGCCTTTCATGTGCCTCACAGTGTCTATGCAAATGAACGGTGTGATTTTAAACTTGAGGAAGGTTCAATAAGAGTGAGATCTAAGAGGATCTTTAATATGGGGGCATTTTTAGAGAGAGAAAAACCAAATGGGTCTCAGTTTTCTCAGGGTGACATATAATTTGGATTTGACTTGGAACTACAGAAGGAATATGGGGTAAAAGACATGAGAAGCATTGCAGAGGTCAGTGCCATGTGGTGCATCTGCCTCAGCTCTCAAAGGAAAGGCAACCGGTCCAGGCTGGGAGCCAGTCAGCAGCAGGGTCCCAATCTCCATCCACTGCCTTACCTTCTGGGGCAGGGAGGGAGTCACAGGGAGGAGGCCGCTCTTGGAGACCTCCAGATCCCTGCCTCTGTGCAGTCTAACTGAAGGGGCCCCCACAGTGGCAGTGAATCTCTTTGCTCTGCAAGGAAAGGGGTGTCATTGGGCCTCCTGGGTCCCTCACCCTCTGCGTGGCCACACAACGCGGTTTTGTTCAACACGTTACATTTCTGGTTACTTAATGTTCATTTTTGGTCCCCTGCAGAGTCCAGTCCGTTTTTCGTTTTCTTTCTTTTCTTTCCAGGCAGGCATTGCCAGGGCTAATCATCTATAAAAGGGCTTACTTTCTTACCTTCACACTAAGCAAGACCATCCAAGGGCAGTGTTAGAGGGCACCTGAGAACGCAGGAGGGGTGTTCCCCGGCAGCCTGTTTCTTTCTCCTATGGGCAGCCCTTCTACAGGAAGCAGAAGCCTCAGGGGAGATGCTGGAAGTGAGGAGAAGGGGATGGAGCTGAGGTAGCAGGGGAGGGGTTGGAAGATCAGAGGGGAGGGTCTTGCTTTGTTCCCCACCCAATAACAAGCAGGTTTCAGGTTGGGGTGAACTACTGGGGAGCAGCACCCTGGGCTCCTCTCAGATGGAGGAGGGACAGGCCACCCAGGGTGAAGGAAGTAGGAGGGACAGGCCACCCAGGGTGAAGGAAGTTGTGAGCTCTGTTAGAGGAAAACAGCCAGGACTTAGTTAGGAGAGGCTTTGTTTGGAAGGATTGTTGTAAGGCAGGGAAAGGGATGATGGAAGCAAGAGGATCCCATGACCGTACGTCTGCAAGCGCTTCAAATAGAAAAGGCCCTTCTTTTATCCAGTAAGGAGAAGCCACTGGGGCCAGCAGGGTCTTTGGAGGAGACCCTGTACAAGCCCAGGAAAATGGCCAGTGGGGATGAGCAGAACACAGGTCCTGCTGTGTCCAGCTGGCTCCCCAGAGAGATGACAAGAGGTGCACTCCAGCTTCTCAGGCTCGCTCAGGCTTGGGGACGTGGAGCTCAGGGCTCTGCAGGAAGGAGAGACCCGGATAAGGTGTGGTCAAGACAGAGCAGATCTGGGCAGCAGTCAGTGGGGCCTTGTGGGCAGCCTGGGGTGGGGAGGCACAGTGCACCGGGAGGTGGAGAAAGTGTGAGTCCATCAGCCTGGCTGCGAATTGATCATGAACCTCTAGTCTGTAAAACTTTTGTTATTTCCTGAGATGTGGTTCTCAACAACCCAGGTGTGAACAACCTTATGATTCTAGGGTTCTTTTCTATTGTTTTAATCACTTGCATCTAAAAATAAATTTCTGAGTGACTTGTTGTCAGCTGTTTTTCTTGATATGTCTAATGATGGGGCAGTGACTCCCACTGTCACCCAGAGATTATGTCTCTGTGCCACATGAAGATTAGGTGCCCCGCTTTTGATTGAGGGGCTCATCTTGGTCTCAAAGTATCCGGTAATAATAGCTGATATGCACGGACAGCCACCTCTCCTCCAGGCGCTGTTCCTGGGCTTCCGTGGATGGATCTGGCTATTTCTCGGAACCTTCTGAGGTTAGAGCTGTCATGGTCTTTCTTCTAAAAGAGGAAACCGAGGCTTGCTGGGGCTCAGTGGCCCTTCTGTGGCTGCACAGCTTTCAGGGTGGAGCCAGTACTGACTGACTCCAAACAAAAGTGCTCCCGACCCAGCTCTTTAACTCACATGGCCTCTTCCAAGCATTCCCGAATATTCCCAGTCGGCTTGCAGACACTCCTTGCTCCCAGGAGATAGTCGGGTAAAGGAGTATGAAAGTTTGGTTACAAACTCATTGCTGCAAATTGAAAACCAACACAAAGGCTGTCTTCCTCTGGGGAGCTACAATGCCTCCCACTTTCTCACCACTTTACCATTGGTAGGGCTTTGATTTCAGGGATCCTACGATTACTCAATACCCTACAGGATATACATGGTTAACCATTTGCATTTGGCAAATAGGCGTTACTTTTCAATAGGAAGTGGCGATCCAGAACTTGCTTTTGGGCAATTCTAGTAGCTCACAGCTTTTTTCTTAATGACCGCTAGAAGCTGCATCTTGTTGACAGATGGTCATCACGTTGGGGACCTGGAATCATCAGATTGTGAGGCTCGGAGTGAGGCTGAAGGGAGTGGATCAGAGTACTGCCTGAGGTGAGCATGCCAAGGCCCCTGAAACTTTTCTTTCAAAAATGTAACCTCTTTGATTCCCCTAGTCTGACAGGAATGGGACTGTTTGACCCATTAATCTTCCAGAATGCTGGCATATGGACTGTGTTTATGCTTAACGACGCAGACCTCCTTTCCTGAAAGCATTGACTTTACGGTTTTAGGAAGCCCCCTTTTCCTCTAAGTGGATAGTAAGGGATTTCATACTCGCTCCCTGCACTGGAGCTTGGGTGATGGTCTGGGCACTTGCTCCTCACACAGGAGATATCCTCAGGGCATCAGTGTGGAGAGGAGTGTGATTCTTTACTTGATCAAATACACTGAAAGATTTTGGAAAACAAAAAAATTAAGCTAAGAAATATTTTGGAGGCAGTAAGTCATTTATGCAATGAAGGCTGATGAGTAGGCATCCAAGGCAGCCTAAGATCGAGCAGGAAGGAGTTTGTGAGGGGGGTTAAGAGAAACTGACAAGGTGGAAATTTCAACAAGTCTTAGTTGCAAAGCTCTCATGAGGGCTGCCAATGCCACTGTGATTATGAAGCCAGTATCTTATGACCAGAAAATAATACACGGTGATATTAAAAGGAGCCAGGCTAGGTGCAGTGGCTCACACCTATAATCCCAGCACTTTGGGAGGCCGAGCTGGGTGGATCACCTGAGGTCAGGAGTTCGAGACCAGCCTGGGCAACATGGTGAAACCCCGTCTCTACTAAAAATACAAAAATTAGCCAGGCATTGTGGCATGTGCCTATAATCCCAGCTACTAGGGAGGCTGAGGCAGGAGAATCACTGGAACTTGGGAGGCAGAGGTTGCAGTGAGCCGAGATCACACCATTGCACTCCAGCCGGAGATCAGCTCCAAAGTCCACTTAGCAGCAAGACATAGATATTCTAGAGATCAGCGTTACAAAGAAAAACAAAAATGCAAGGCCGTAACTAAAGCTATCCTTTAAATGGTTAAAGATGTAATTTCTGCAAATAAAACAGAAAACATAAAAGCAAACTTCCAAAGAAATAAAAGGAACTGAAAAAAAAAAAAAAAAAAAAAAACAACCCACAGAAGCTTAATAAACAAATCACCGGGGGAAAACAAAAAAAAATCAAACCTCCTGGTCTCCTCCTTAGCCACCCTCATTCAAAAGCAGAAGGAAGTCAGTCTAGAGTTTCAGCTCCACTGATGCTTATCTAAAAAAGCATAAAATGTGGTGTGCCCGTGATTCAAATAAACTTAGAGAACATACACGTATTGAACACCTACCATTATAGTTTGTGAAACTCTGATATCAATAAGATGTTTTAAAATAAACACATTATTTCAGATCTTGTGGGAATTCTGTGGCATTTCACTAAGACCTGCTGGTGGCAAAGTGAATTAGAATGGCGAGTAAGAGACAATAATGGAAGTCTCACCAGGACTCACAGTCCTAGATGAGCTACAGGCTCGCTATCTGTAAAATGGGTACGATGTCTACCTTAAAGGGTTTTGTGAGGTTAAAAGCGATACGCAGCTGTAAACCAGTGATTTTAATGCCCAGCAGGTAACTAGAACTTAATTTACAGCATATGCACACACACACACAAACACACACATACACATATGTGTGCATATATACATACATACACGTCCATATGTACACACAGAGTTATACACATACTGCACACACATGCATGTATACACACATGTATGTATACATGCAGGCACCAATATACACCCATGCACACACATGCATACACACACATACACCTGTATACACACATGCGCACACCTATATACACACATACCTATATGCATACATGATGTAAACACATGTATATATGCAGGCATATGCACACTGCACAAACGCACACATGCATATATACATACACACACACACCCCCACATATGAACACATACATACATACTCTTATTTAGTTCTTGCTCCTTGTTTTGCAGGGCCAGTACTCTTTATGAAAGTAAGCACAAATTTAAAACTGCCTGACAACTTAATTTTAACGCATTGTTAAGCTAGTTATTAAATGTTTTTAAATTATAAGTTAACACAGTTTTTATTACCAGTAATATTTTGATAACTATTGCTAACGTTTTCCCCATATTGAATTTTCTTGGGCAGAGTCTGTCGTTGGCCAAAGGGATGAACAACGGCAGTCGGTCTGTTGCTTGGTTCCCCCAACCCCTGCTCCTCTTGAGGAGCGCCCCCCCACAGCTCTCACTGGCCCTCTCTCTTTGCTACCACCACAGAGCCAGCCCCAGTACTGGTCTCCCTGAGAGTGTGTGCTGCGGCTACCCACCTCTACTGGGGCCATTTGCCTGTGATTAGAGTTCTCCCAATGCCCTCAAAGTCCAAAAACATAAAAGGTAGAGGCACGGTGGAAGGCCGGAGGGAGATGAGTGTGGCTGTGTTTGGAGAACTGAACACAGCCTTAAATCCTATAGTGGGGGCAGCCCCTCCCTCTTTCCACTGGTTCTGCTTTTTAGCAGAACGTATAATTAGGTATTCTTTTAATTTCTAAATGAATTAATAAATTAACGATTACTTTCTGAGATACGCTCTTGCATATTATACATAATAAAAATTGTACTAGGAAGCCACATTACTTTATTGCAATAAAAATTGAAGTAACCTTTTTAAATGCTATGTTAGAAATATTATTCTGGAATTAAGTTTTTCTTAAAGTAACACTTATAAAAATGTGTGATAACAGGATCTTTGAAGTGTTAAAATTGAAATTCAGAGGCTAAGTTATTACTTACCATGTGCATATATTTAATCTTCATGAGATGTTAGTACATCTGCATTTCATTTAAATGAGCAGGGTGGTGGCTTGTTGTCCCAGCTACTCTAGAGGCTGAGGTGGTAGGATAGCTAGAGACCAGGAGTTTGAGGCTGCAGTGTGCTATTATCGTGCCTGTGAATGGTCACTGCACTATAGCCTGGGCAACATAGCAAGACCCCATCTCTAAAAAATGGTAGTTTATTTATATGATTTCAAGCCTAAAATACAAAATACATATTGAAGTATAGCTTATCATTATTTGCCTCTAAGTAAGGCAAGAAAAAGCCTTTAAAAATATCTTTTAATACAAGTTTGTTTCTAAGTCTAACATATGTCCACAATGAGAAGAGAATCAATCAGATGTGAGGCCTGCACGATTTTGTTTCATGCAATTGCTAGGGGAATGGAGGCACTTCAACTCAGAGGCTGGTGTGGGGACCAGCACACTGTCTAACAATTCCTCCTGTGTTTGCCTTGGTGGCACCCTTTGCCACATTCCCTGGGTCAGGTGATGCCAGCCTTGGGGGGCCTGTGAGCTGCTGCAGTCAGGTGGTGGGTGCATGTAGCCATCTTCTCGTCTTCCCTCTGCTGTTGCCCCCAACAGGGATTGGCCCCTAGGAGCTGCTCAGACCTGTCTTTGGATGAATGAATGAAGAGTCCTCTAGGTCGGTGTTATGCTTTGGCTGTGTCCCCATCCAAATCTCATCTTGAATTGCAGTTCCCATAATCCCCACGTGTCGTGGGAGGGACCAGGTGGAGATAATTGAATCATGGGGTGGTATCCTGTTCTCGTGATAGTGAGTGAGTTCTCATGAGATCTGATGGTTTCACAGGGGGCTTCCCCCTTTGCTATTCTCATTCTTCTCCTTCCTGCCGTCATGTGAGGAAGGATGTGTTTGCTTCCCCTTCTGATGTGACTGTCAGTTTCCTGAGGCCTTCCCAGCCATGCTGAACTGTGAGTCAATTAAACCTCTTTCCTTTATAAATTACTCAGTCTCAAGTATGTCTTTATTAGCAGCGTCAGAACAGACTAATACAGTCGACTTATTGATTATATGGTTTATATAATCATATATATGTGATTATATAGATTATGTAGTCAGATTATATGATTTATATCATCATATAATAAACTACCTTTTTTTTTAAAGAGATGAGGTCTTGCTGTGTTGCCCAGGCTGGAGTACCCTGGCCATTCACAGACATGATAATTGCACACTGCAGCTTGGAACTCCTGGCCTCAAAAATTTCCCAAAGTGTTTCCAAAGAACAGGAACTGAAAAGGTTCTGTGAGTGAGAAGGTTTGGGAAATACTGAGTTATTCCAGCAGGGCTCTGAAGGACCATTGATAAACAAGCTCTAATAGGAATAAACCAGGGAAGGATGTAGTTAGCATCTTATTTATGTCTTAATATACCAGCCACAGAGAAATCATTTCCCACCCCTGTCTGTCTCCCTCCCTTCTTTCTACCCAGAGCATCTCTTGGAACTCACTTTTAGATGCTGGATGCTTGAATTCCCCAAGAAGCAACAGTTCCTAAATTGAAGTATGCATTAGAATAATACAGAGATTGTGTTAATGCAAGGATTTGAATCTTTGAAGCAGACATCCATAGGATCTATAGATCTTACCTAATGTCAAACTTTACTAATGATTCAATAACAAAAACACTAGGCAGAGAGATGCATCCCATGTTGGCTGAGCTGTTCTCGAACTCCTGGCCTCAAGTGATCCACCACCTCAGCCTCCCAAGGTTCTGGGATTACAGGTGTGAGCCACTGCGCCCAGCTATTCTGTGCTTTTATATAGGGGCTCCCAGGCTTCTTTCCCCTAATAAGTACTATTTGCATGTTTACAAGGAGATCTGGTCCTCGCCCAATCCAATCATGGGCAGAGTTTAGTGCTTTGTGACTGTAGGACTGAGATCCTCATATTCACTCTTGGCTGTCAGCAGAGGGCCTTTTTAGCTTCTCAGGGCAACCACATGGCTCAGCTTGTGGTCCCCTCTTCTGTCTGCAACTCCAGCAACAATACATTGAATCTCTCACCTTCGAATCTTTTCTTCTCCCATCTCCGGGGAGAAGGACTCTTCACCTCTAAGGACTTGTGATTGCAGTGGGTCCAACTAGATAACCCAGCATGATCTCTGCCTACCTCCAGGCCCTTAGATCTTTAACTTCATTGCATATGCAAAGTCCCTTTTGCTGTG